GCTCCCCGACCTGCCGCACTCAGGTACCCCCGGCCCCGCCGCCTGCAGCCCCCCGAGGCCTCCTAGCGCCGTAGCTGGTGACAAATAGCCTTTACCGTCCCCTCCAGCTCCCACTGACAGGTCTGAAGCCTTTCTGCTTTTGATAATACACTCTCTTGTTTCTCTTACTGTAAAGGGAAGTTTATAACCAATAAAAAAAAAAGGGTATTTTTATGAAGATAAAAAAAAAATAATTATATATATATAGAATTATCAGTGCTCCCTGAGAAAAAACAACAAACAAACGTGCTTTGAGATTCTGCAGGATAAAAAGAGATAAAGAAGCGTATTTTGAGATAACAGATGCATTTTGTATGGTTTCCTTTTCTAAACTCCTGGTTTGTACTACAGATTGCAGAAATCACTCCCCAGCCCCCCTCCTGCCCGCCTAGGGCAGCCCTGGGCGGCAGTGGAGGATGAGGCAGAGAATTCACCCGGGGCTCCAGAGCCTCACGACCAACTCCAAAGATGCGGCAAAGAGACGGGCGGAGCGAGGGGTCCCTCCCGGCCGGGACACGGAGCCGGCACCGGCAGCAGCACCCCCAGAGCGAGACCCGCGCACGGCTCAGGGCAGCGCATCCTCAGCCGTGCTCTCGGTGCGAGAAAAAAACCCCCCGAACCATCGAGAGTTAATTTCAGTTCCTCCCGAGCCCCTGTTCACATCGGCGGGCACAGGCACAACCTGCTGAGAACAACAACGAGACCATGGCACAGATTTAACCTCCAGCCCCAGGTGCGTTGGATTTGCCAAAAAAAAACCACGAAAGGGTGTGATGTCAACACGGTGTACATAGTGTACAGTAGGGGAGAGAATTAATGTATCTTCAGTTGTCATTATTTTGCTAACCAAAGCTGTACGTTTTTCCTACTCCCGGCTCTGTCTCCTTTGGGATTTGAAGGGGATCCGACACCCCGCGCATCCGGCCCGCATCGGCAGTTCTGACAATGCACTGTTTCTACGGATTCTCATGCTTTTTCCATTTTATTGCTGGGATTACATGAATTGTTGACTTTATTTTTACACAATAAAGCGTGAAGAAAGACACCGGCTTCTCTCACATGTGTCTGTTCCCCGAGCAGCCAGTGCTCAGCAGCTTGTCTTTTTCCACAGGAAGGTTTTTACGCCTGCACGAAGCAGAAATTTCTGCCCAGATCCTCTTGGAGCTGGCTCAGGCACTCCCTGAGCGTCTCTGCCAGGCTGTCTCCTTCTCCTGTACCCTTAAACCGCGGCTGTGCCCGTTTTATGTAACACACCACACAAAGTGATGTATTTTCCCTGCAGCCCCGGCTGGAAGCTCCCTCTGGGTCCCGCCAGGCTCCTGCAGGGGCGGGCGGCAGGGGAGGCTCCCGGTGCGGGCACCCCCGGCCCCGGCGGCCTCGGCTCCCTCCCCGCGGCCCCGGGAGCCGGGCTGGGCTCCAGAGGCAGTTCCTGGAAGGCAGCGCTGCCCGGGGAACCGGCCTGAGCCTGGCAGGGCCGCAGCAGGGCCAGC